ATCCTGTGGACCGAGGGAGGTCAACGGAATGTGAGGACGTATGCCTCTCGACGAATTCCAGTTCATTCACTCGTCTCGCTCCACGGCGAAGGCCGCTCGGCACAGTCAAAGGGCAATGCGAAGGAAGGGCCAAAGGGGAAGGGGGAAGCACCCTTCGAATCCTTATCCAGCCTCGTATTCCCTTCCTCGCTCTTTGTCTCTGGCTTGAACGTGTTGCGAGACTAGCAGCAGCGGTAATTGCAGCAGCAGCATCAGCCTCCTGTCCCTCTCCTTCTGCCCCTCCCCCCTTCTCCTTGTCGCCTCGCTCCTTACCTCTGCCTGTCGCCGTTTTTGGGGAAGGGCGCCCTGTCGCGGGCGCCCCCGTGGTCTTTGGCCTTCCACCCGGGTGCCAACGAAAACCTCCTGGATGGGCGCGCCTCCTTGTTTTTACTCGTGCCTCGTCTGTGGGCGCTTGACATTTTCCTCGCCCCTTCGCTTCTTGTCCGCTTGTGCTTCCCTTGCTCGCTTCTTGTCCGCTTTCCCTTTCCTCTCTCCAGTGTGCAGCAGCAGCAGCAGCTGCCAGCAGCAGAGGCAGCGACAACAGCGACAGCATACCTGGGTAGAAACGGGATCTGCGGCAATAATATCGAGGACAGCTCGCCTCTGGATTCCGGGGACTGGAGATTGAATTGCACCACATTCTGGATCCCTCCAGCCCGAGGCCGTGAGCTGCTTTCGCCAGCCCTCCTTTCGCCGACGCTCCTTTCGCCGGGCTCGTTTCGCCAAGCGCCAGTTCCGCCGAGGCTCCTGTCGCCAGCGGGTGTTTTCGCCGGCACTTCTTTCGCTGGGCTGGTTTCACCAGCGCTCCTTTCGCCAGGCGCTGGTCTCGCTGGGGCTCCTTTCGCCAGCGGGCGATTTCGCCCGGCCTGGTTTCGCCGAGGCCGTCGTCGTCGCCATCGCCGTCGTCGTCGCCGCGGCCGCCGTCGCCGTCGCCACCGCCGTCGCCACCGCCGACGTCGCTTCGGGCGGGCGGGACGTGTGGTGCAGCCGGTCGGGCTGGGCGGGCGGGACAGTAAGACGTGGTGCACCGTCGAGTGAACACGCGGGCCCCGGCTCGGCCAAGTGAGACTGTAGAGCTGAGCCTCGGCTAAGGCCCGCTGCGGCTTGCTGGCTTGCAGGACGGCAGGCCGCGCGGGCGGCTTGGGTCCGTGCTGGCCCCCAGCTCCACACACCCGTGGCGGAGCGACCGGCGACGCCCCCTGCGCGCCCTTCTCTCTTCACCCCGCCTCTCCGTATCCCCCCACGAGGAGGAGGAGGAGGAGGAGGAGGAGGAGGAGGAGGAGGAGGAGGAGGAGGAGGAGGAGGAGGAGGAGGAGGAGGAGGAGGAGGAGGGAGGAGGGAGGAGGGAGGAGGGAGGAGGGAGGAGGGGGGCCCAGCGCCGACCCGAGAAGCCCGCGCGGACCTCCGGAGGTCTGTGTCCGCCCGTGTGTGGTCGGAAACGCTGCGGGTGTCTGGCTTGCAGGCGATGGCAGACGGAAGCAGACGGAAGCAGGCGATGTCGGACGCTGGCATATAGTAACAGACGACACCAGACGATAGCAAACGATAGCAGGCGATGGCAGGCGGTAGCAGACGGAAGCAGACGATAGCAGGCGATAGCAGGCGATGGCAAGCGAACGCAGGCGATGGCAGACGCTAGCAGACGACAGCAGACGACAGCAGACGATAGCAAACGAAAGCAGACGAAAGCAGACGATTGTAGACGATTGCGGACGACTGCACCCAGGTGCCTTGCTGTCTCCTGTCGGGCCCTAGCGGTTCCTGCTTGCCCCTGAGCAGATGTCCTTCTATCGTTTGTTATCGTCTGCTATCGTCTGCTATCGTCTGCAGCGGATCCTGGCAGTCCCTAGCTGGTCCTATCGTCTGCTATCGTCTGCTATCGTCTGCACCAGTTCTCTATCATCTGCAGCGGGTCCTGGCAGCCCCTAGCTGGTCCTATCGTCTGCTATCGTCTGCTATCGTCTGCTACCGTCTGCTATCGTCTGCTATCGTCTGCTATCGTCTGCAGCGGTTCCTGGCGGCCGCTGACTGGTCCTATCGTCTGCTATCGTCTGCTGCAGACGATAGCAGACGATTGCCACCAGTGGCCCTAATGCGCCTATCGGCCCCTCCAGTCGAGGCCCATCCAGAAACGATGCCTCTCTAGTCGATGCCGCAGACGATAGCGGACGATAGCATACGTTTGCACCCAAGCCTCCCCTAGCGGGCCCCATCGTCTGCTATCGTCTGCTATCGTCTGCAGCAGACGATAGCAGACTGTTGCGAGCCCTGGCAGCCCCCAGCCGGTCCTACCGTTTGCCAGCGTCTGCCGCAGACGATTGCGGACGATAGCAGACGATGGGATCAGCTACGGGCCGCCGGGAACCGCCGCAGACGATGGCAGACGATAGCAGACGATAGGACCAGTTAGAGGCCGTCACGACTCGCAGCCGACAGAAGACAGCAAGGCTCTTGGCGGCAGCGTGGCTCCGGCAGCGGCTTGCTGGCCTTTCGGGGCGCTCGGGAACCAAAGCAGGGGGAGGACAGCATGAGGATGGCCACAAAAGGTCCCGAGAACCCCGCTAGACTCTCCGCAAACGTTCTGGGCCGAAGGCGACATCAAAAAAAACACGCACACCGTAAACCATTGGCATTCGCAATGCGAAACGAGCCGCGTAACTACATAGGACAACTGGTACAATTCCGTTCCAGATTTCCCCCAGGGAAATCCAGGACGGAGGGGCGGTGACAACAGCAAGATGACGCACTACTTTCTCACAATCGACCTCAACGCCGCGTGCTTTCCTGAACGTCTTTCCGATGCGTTTGGAGAACACGGTAGCGATGCGCTTGGCTTTTCCGTTTCTTGGGCGAGCATGCGAGCATGGCGCGAGAGAGTGCTGCGAGGACCGCCCATACTGCGCACTGTGGGCCCGAATACGTATCCATAGCGGCCCAAGAGGGCCCCCAGACAAGAAGCCGAACACATGGCGCAACACGATTTCTTGAATAATCCCGAAAACGACCGACGACGACCAACGATTGCCCCCCCCGCCCCCCAACGGCCCCCAACAGGCACCCGGGACGCCAACCGAGATGTTGTAAGAAGCTTCCAGGAAGCCTCCAACCCATCACGTGGGAGCTGTCGCGGGATAGGCCGGAAGCCAGTACACGATGTTGTGCGTCAGAAGACACGAGCCGCTGGGGGATCGCGAAGCGACGCTAAGAGGAAGCCCAAATCGCCCGCAGGCCACTCCAAAAGAACAAGCTGTGGGGGAGGAAAAGGCTGGGAGAGGCGGGTTAGGGGAGGCATGTGGAACGGTCCGAACACCAACGTCTGTCACATAGGAAAACAGGGCTGGGAGGGAAGGACGCGGGGGGGCATGTGGCTGCGTTCCGCGAGAATCCCTTTCAGAGTGCGATGGCGGGGGAGAAAGAAGAAGGCAACGAAGCGGAATTGAGGGAGATTTCCGAATGCTTCAACTACACACACACACTCTCATTCACTCGCACTCGCACTCACTCATACCTCATACTCAGACTTATCCGCACTCAGACTCACTCACAGGCAGACTCAATCATAAGCAGACTCCATAAGACACAGACCCATACACACACAGACCACTCACACTCCTAGAAACTTAAGCTCAGACACACTCACACTCAGGCGCACACTCATGTAAACTCACACTCCATTTCTCCTCCGCCCTCTCCTTCTCGTAATCCTCATCCTCCTCCCGCTACCCAATTCCGTTGTCTCTCCTCCTCCCCCTCGTTTTTCTCCCTCTCCTGATCCTCGTTCCCCCTCCTCGCTCCCCTCACCATCCTCGCCCTGATTAAGGTGATTCGCCGCGGCATCGTTTCTGGATGGGCATCGACTGGAGGAGCCGACAGACGCACTAGGGCAACTGGCGGCAATCGTCTGCCATGGTCTGCAGCAGGCGACAGCAGACGATAGCGGACGATAGGACCAGTTAGCGGCCGCCAGGAACCGCTGCAGACGATTGCAGACGCTAGCAGACGATAGGATCAGCTGGGGGCCGCCAAGAACGGGTGCAGCAGACGATCGCCGACGATAGCAGAGGATAGGACCAGCTACGTAGGGGCTGCCAGGACCCACTGCAGACGATAGAGAACCGGTGCAGACGATTTCAGAAGACGGCAGGCGATAGGATCTCATAGGGGCCGCTGGGGGTGGCTGTCGTCTGCTATCGTCTGGTGCAGACGATAGCAGACGATAGCAGACGATAGGATCAGCTAGGGACAGCCAGGATCCGCTGCAGACGATAGCAGACGATAGCAGACGATAGAAAGACACATGCTATGGGGCCGGCAGGAACCGCAACAAGGCACCTGTGTGCGATCGTCTGCAATCGTCTGCCATCGTATGGTATCGTCTGCTATCATCTGCTAGTGTCTGGTATCTCCTGTTTTCGTCTGCTTTCGTCTGCTATCGTCTGCTATCGTCTGGTACCAAATAGCCCACGGCGTTTAGACTCACTCAAACCTCATACTCAGACTCACTCACATTCAGTCTCCCACACACTCGTATTCACTCATACCTCATACTCAGACTTACCCGCACTCAGACTCACTCACAGGCAGACTCAATCATAAGCAGACGCAATAGGACACAGCCCCATTCACACACACAGACCACTCGCACTCCTAGAAACTTCAGCTCAGACACACTCACACTCAGGCGCACACTCATGTAAACTCACACTCCACTTCTCCTCCGCCCTCTCCTTCTCGTACTCCTCATCCTCCTCCCGCTACCCAATTCCGTTGTCTCTCCTCCTCCCCCTCGTTTTCCTCCTTCTCCTCATCCTCCTTTCCCCTCCTCGCTCCCCTCACCATCCTCGCCCTGATTAAGGTGATTCGCCGCGGCATCGTTTCTGGATGGGCATCGACTGGAGGAGCCGACAGACGCATTAGGGCAACTGGTGGCAATCGTCTGCCATCGTCTGCAGCAGGCGACAGCAGACGATAGCGGACGATAGGACCAGTTAGCGGCCGCCAGGAACCGCTGCAGACGAATGCAGACGATAGGACCAGCTGGGGGCCGCCCAGAACGGGTGCAGCAGACGATAGCAGACGATAGCAGACGACAGGACTAGCTCGAGGACCCGCTGCAGACGATAGAGAACTGGTGCAGACGATGGCAGACGATAGGATCAGCTAGGGACAGCCAGGATCCGCTGCAGACGATTGCAGACGATAGCAGACGATAAAAGGACACTTGCTATGGGGCCGGCAGGAATTGCAAGGGGCCGACAGGAGGCAACAAGGCACCTGGGTGCAATTGTCTGCAATCGTCTGCAATCGTCTGCTTTCGTTTGCCATCGTCTGGTATCGTCTGCTAGCGTCTGATTTCGCCTGCTTCTGTCTGCTTTCGTCTGCTGTCGTCTGGTCTCGTGTGATATCGCCTGCTTTCGTCTGCTTCTGTCTGCGATCGGCTGCTATCGTCTTCTATCGCCTGGCACCAAGTAGCCCACAGCGCTTCCGACTACAATGCATGTCTATGCCATGTTCTGTGTCTCTAGATGGACACCTGCGGGATGATGTTCGGGAAGACCATCTGGACCTCCTTGATCACCTGGGCGTTGTCCCCGTCCCTGGGGAACGTGGTCGGCGCAGTGGGCGCCGGGACGTTGGTGACGATGAGCGAGTGCTTCGAGAATGTCTCGCCAATGGCCTTCCGCTTCAAGAAGTTGGGCGCCACGGCGTTCACAAGATCTATGAAGGACGACAGGCCGGCTATGTACGGCCGCGACTTGAGGGCGTCGGTCGCCCGCATGACCCCCTTCACTCGCCGCGCGCGGTCGGACTCGTGGACGGGCAGCGCGAGGCTGGCGTACAGGTGCCTGTTGCTGACCGAGCCCGCCATGTCGCTGGGGTCGACAGGGCGAGGCAGCCCGATCAGCATCAGCGTCTTGCACTCGAGGGGCCCCGCGGCGTCGCCCTTCAGTCTCTCGTCGTCGTTCACCTCGGCGCCGAAGCGGCGCAGGGCCCCGGTCAGCGCCGCCATGAGCACGTCGTTCACCGAGCAGCCGTGCCTCCTGCGGATCTGCTGCACCAGCGACATCTCCACCTTACCAGCCTGGAACATATCCCTATCCCTATGCTGGGCACCTCCTCATCACGATGCCAATCTTAGGGATTCCCTTACTTTCTGAGGGCGAATCCCTGAGATTGTCATCGCCTTTTGGCGTGTCAATATTAAGGATAGGGATACGTTCGAGTCTGGTAACCACCGGCGGGAACCGAGCGAGGGCGCGCCTGCCGTTGAACTTCAGGTACGGCGTGCGCTCCGAGAGTGCCGGGCGTCGCCAGGCGCGGCCCCGGCCCAGGTGTGCCCCCTCCTCCTCCTCCTCCTCCTCCTCCTCCTCCTCCTCCTCCTCCTCCTCCTCCTCCTCCCTCTCCTCCTCCTCTCCTCTCCTCTCCTCTCTCCCCTCCTCCTCCTCCTCCTCGTTCCTCCTCCTCCATATAAACAAGTTCTCCCTGTCGCACCCCGAGGCCCCCTCGGGGCTCCCCCGGGGCCGGAGGAGGCCCCGCGGCCGCCCTGGGCCGGGGCCACCCGCGGCAGCGCCCGGGAGGGGCGGGTTGATGCTGAGCTCCGAGTCCGGCTTGGCCAGCAGCGCCACCCCGAGGCCGCGGACGAACTTGCGGACCCCGTCGCCGCAGGCCTTCCTCGGCCTCGGCGCCGCCGCGGCCGCGGCCTCCGCCTGCGGCCGCGCCCCGGGGGGCAGCAGCGCGGCGGGCAGGGGCACCTTGCCGAGCAGGTCGCCGCCCTCGCAGCCGAACATGGGCGACATGGCGAACAGCAGCCCGAGGCCGTCGCCGATCGAGTGGTGTATCCTGATCCAGGCGGCGGATCTGCTCGGCGCTGGGGCGCTCAGGAGCACCACCCTCCACGGCGGCCTCGTGCGGTCGAGCCCCTCGAAGAAGGAGCCCTGGACATGGGCGTCGATGGCCGCCTCGTCCGCAACGGCCACCTCGGGGAAGTGGTACGCGGCATCGAACTCCTGCGCCTGGACCCAGTACCCGTTGTCCATGCGGCTGCTGAACCGGAAGGCCGGGTACAGGTGCGCCTCGAACTCGCGCGCCCACGCACCCGCGGGGGGCAGGCGGTCAAAGAAGAGCAGGACGTTGATGATCGGGTCTGTCATGTTCATGTCCTGCGGGAAGCCTCCGACCTCCAGGGTCCTGGCCATCGGCGTCATTGCCCGCCTGGCCGAGCTGCCGCGCCCGCTCGCGGCGCCATCCGGCGCGGCTCCGTCCTCGCCCCGCTGCGGCGCGCGGGAGCGCATCGCCATGGACAGCTGGCCCTGCCCACCAAAACACGCGGCCGAGAGCGCCTGCGAAAAAGGGGGGGAGGGCAAGGGGGGCGAGGAGAGGGGAGAGGACCAGGACGGCGCGCGCGCACCGCTGATCACGGCCTGCCCCCCCCGCCAGAGTCCAACCTCACTGCTCTCGTGCCACTCTCCGCTCAGCCGAGCCCAGACGCGAGGACGGTCGTCACAGCCCTCGGGCCCAGCGCACCCTGCAGAATGTTGACGAGGAGGATAAGGAGGAGGAGGAGGAGGAGGACGACGAGGAGGAGGAGGACAGACCCGGCAATGATGCGCGCGGGGAGAGCGGGCGACGCTCGGGCCGGACAAGTTGCCAACGACCGACCACCGCCGAGCAGCCCAGCGCAGAGGCAAGAGAACAACCCCCGCAAGCGGCAACGCCCTCGGCCGAAAACCTGACCGCACAAGAACGGGAAGCGCCGTTTCTGCTCATAGCAGTGTTTGTCGTCAAAGCTCTGGACGCCAGCGTTCGTACTGGGAGCCCTGGCGTTCGAAGCTGCCCACGTCATCGTTCGTAATGGAGCCTTGGGATGTCGTGGTCGGTCTCTCGTAGGCCTCTTAGAAGCAATTCTGAAGCCTCTTGGGGGCCGTTTTTTGGGGCCGTCTTGGGGGCATCTTGGGGGCCTTTTTGGGGCCTCTTGGGGGCCTCTTGGAGCGTCTTGGAGGGCTCCCGGGGGCCTCCTGGACCCTCCGGGGGGGCACTTGGGGCCGAGGACCCGAAAAGTCCGTTCGTGTACCTCGTCTGGGCCCCCTCTAGGAGCCATATGGACGGCCTCTTGGGCCGCCGCGAAGCCTCTTGGGGCCGTCTTGGGGCCGCCTTGGGGCCTTCTGGTGCCTTCTTGGGGCCGTCTTGGGGGCCTCTTGGGCCGTCTTGAAGCGATCTTGGGGGCCTCTTGGGCCGTCTTGGGGCGATCTTGGGGGCCTCTTGGGCCGTCTTGGAGCGTCGGGAAACGGAAAAGGCGCGAACCCCAAAAACCCTTCAAAAACTATTCAAAAATCATAGATTTGTACCTCTTTGGCGCTCTTGTGAGGCCTCTTCGAAGCCTCTTGAGGCGTTTTGGAAGCCTCTTGAGGGCCTCCTGGGCCGTCTTGGAGCTCTCTTGGACCGTCTGGAAGCCATCTTAGGGCATCTTGGAACGCTCTAGGGCGGTCTTGGAGCGCTCTTGGGCCGTCTTGGAGCCCTGGTGGCCGTCTTGGGCGCGTCTTGGTCAGATTTTATGAGCGGAATGACAATTTTTCCGCAATTTTCCGGAACCTGACCGGACAAGAACGGGAAGCGCCGTCCACGTGCGTCAGAGATCGTATTGGCAAGAACGTCAGAGAAACCCATAAACGCAACAGAACAGACTAAATGATGGCCTGCCGCGCTGGTCTGTCGAGGTAGTCTGCTGCCCTGGCCACATCATGGTGTCGACACCGTGCTTTTCTCTCGGCCACGCGGGCCCCCACCCGTTGTCGCCCAGCCTACTTTTTCTGTTCCAGCCTGTCTTGTCTTTTGTTTGTCCGTCGTCGTCGTCGCGTGCCTTTCCTTTGTCGTGGTCGTCGTTTTCATTATAATCGTCCGCTGTTGCCGTTCTCGCTGTCGCCGTCGTTATCATTTTATGATTGCGGTCGTTTTTCTGATTGTTTTTTTGTTGTTGGATTCCGTGTTCGGTTGGTTTTTGTGTTATGTTTGTGGTCGTTTTCTGTCATCGTTTTTTGTCGTAATTTTCGAGATCGTTATTGACGAAGACGACGACGAAGACGACGACGACGACGACGACGACGACGACGAGCAGGAGGACCCGTGCCGGCTGGCTCGGGGTGCCCGCGTCCCTCTGCTGCCGCAGGCCGCCGCCAGCGAGTTCCGAAGTGCGGGCCCGTACCCCTTAGTTAGAGAAAATGAAGCCCCAGAACCAACGGTGCACGCCGGAGGCGCTTCCCGTCATCCTCGAGTTCGTCTGGAGGCCGTCTCGAGGCCGTCCTGAGGACATCCTGGGCCGTCCTGGCGGCACCGTGGGTCGTCTTGGGGGCCGTCCTGGGGGCTCTTGGGGGTCTCTTGGGGCGCTTTGGGGGTCCTCTGGGGGGCCTTCGGGGTCTCTCTTGGGCCGTTTGGAGGCCCTCCGCGAGCGATTCCAAGATAATGCTGTTTCGGAGTCCCCTCCGGAGCCGATTTTTTGAGGATGTCCCGAGCGAAACGGCCAATTTCCCGTCATCCGCCAACGAGTTTCGGGATGGAGCCCGTATCCCTTAGTTAGAGAAAATTAAGCCCCAGAACCAACGGTGCACGCCGGAGGCGCTTCCCGTCATCCGCCAACGAAAAATGGGAGCCTTTGGGGGTGCTTAATTCTCCAGAACCAACGGTACACGCCGGAGGCGCTTCCCGTCACCAGGGGAGGCAGGACGGTCCCAGCAGGTCGGAGGCCGTCTTGAGGGCAGCCTGGGCCGTCTTGGGGTCTCCGTGGGCCGTCTTGGGGCTCTCCGTGGGCAGTCTTGGGGGCCCCCTGGGGGCCGTTTGGGGTCTCTTGGGGCCCTCCGTGGGCCGTCTTGGAGCCCTCCGGGAGCGACTCCAAGAGGATGTCGGTTCGGAGCCCCCTCCGGAGCCGATTTTTTGAGGATGTCCCAAGCGAAACGGCAAAAAAACAGAAATCCGCCAACGAAAAACCTGACCGGACAAGAACGGGAAGCGCCGTCCACGTGCGTCAGAGACCGTATTGGCGAGAACGTCAAAGAAACCCATAAACGCAACAGAACAGACTAAATGGTGGCCTGCCGCGCTGGTCTGTCGAGGTAGTCTGCTGCCCTGGCCACATCATGGTGTCGACACCGTGCTTTTCTCTCGGCCACGCGGGCCCCCACCCGTTGTCGCCCAGCCTACTTTTTCTGTTCCAGCCTGTCTTGTCTTTTGTTTGTCCGTCGTCGTCGTCGCGTGCCTTTCCTTTGTCGTGGTCGTCGTTTTCATTATAATCGTCCGCTGTTGCCGTTCTCGCTGTCGCCGTCGTTATCATTTTATGATTGCGGTCGTTTTTCTGATTGTTCCCAACCATCCTGTGGTGTTGGGTTCTCGTTTTGAAGAGACGGTGCCCGCGTCCTCTCCTCTCCTCCTCCTCCCCCTCCTCCTCCTCCTCCTCCTCCTCCTCCTCTCATCATCAGCATCATCATCATCGTCATCGTCACCGTCATCATCAGCATCATCATCATCATCATCATCATCGTTCTTATCACCATCGTCGTCATCATCATCGCCGTCTCCATCATGGCCACACGTTTCGTGGACCCATAGTGAGCTCCACCGAAGGCCCCAGTGGCAAGGTCCGCATGCGGTTCCACCTCCATTTCGGCGCACCCCTCACACGTTCCGTGGCCCCATAGGGAGCTCCACCGAAGGCCCAAGTGTCAGGGTCCGCATGCGGTTCCACCTCCATTTCGGCGCACCCCTCACACGTTTCGTGGCCCCATAGGGAGCTCCACCGAAGGCCCCAGTGTCAGGGTCCGCATGCGGTTCCACCTCCATTTCGGCGCACCCCTCACACGTTTCGTGGCCCCATAGGGAGCTCCACCGAAGGCCCAAGCGTCAGGGTCCGCATGCGGTTCCACCTCCATTCGGCGCACCCCTCACACGTTTCGTGGCCCCATAGGGAGCTCCACCGAAGGCCCAAGTGTCAGGGTCCGCATGCGGTTCCACCTCCATTTCGGCGCACCCCTCACACGTTTCGTGGCCCCATAGGGAGCTCCACCGAAGGCCCCAGTGTCAGGGTCCGCATGCGGTTCCACCTCCATTTCGGCGCACCCCTCACACGTTTCGTGGCCCCATAGGGAGCTCCACCGAAGGCCCAAGTGTCAGGGTCCGCATGCGGTTCCACCTCCATTTCGGCGCACCCCTCACACGTTTCGTGGCCCCATAGGGAGCTCCACCTAAGGCCAAGTGTCAGGGTCCGCATGCGGTTCCACCTCCATTTCGGCGCACCCCTCACACGTTTCGTGGCCCCATAGGGAGCTCCACCCAAGGCCCAAGTGGCAGGGTCCGCATGCGGTTCCACCTCCATTTCGGCGCACCCCTCACACGTTTCGTGGCCCCATAGGGAGCTCCACCGAAGGCCCAGTGGCTGGTCCGCATGCGGTTCCACCTCCATTTCGGCGCACCCCTCACACGTTTCGTGGCCCCATAGGGAGCTCCACCGAAGGCCCCAGTGGCAGGCGTCCGCATGCGGTTCCACCCCCCATTCGCCTCACACCCCTTCGGCGCACCCCTCACACGTTTCGTGGCCCCATAGGGAGCTCCACCGAAGGCCCAAGTGGCAGGGTCCGCATGCGGTTCCACCTCCATTTCGGCGCACCCCTCACACGTTTCGTGGCCCCATAGGGAGCTCCACCGAAGGCCCAAGTGTCAGGGTCCGCATGCAATTCCACCTCCATTTCGGCGCACCCCTCACACGTTTCGCGGCCCCATAGGGAGCTCCACCGAAGGCCCAAGTGTCAGGGTCCGCATGCGGTTCCACCTCCATTTCGGCGCACCCCTCACACGCTTCGTGGCCCCATAGGGAGCTCCACCTGAGGCCCCAGTGGCAGGGTCCGCATGCAGTTCCACCTCCATTTCGGCGCACCCCTCACACGTTTCGTGGCCCCATAGGGAGCTCCGCCTAAGGCCTAAGTGGCAGGGTCCGCATGCAGTTCCACTTCCATTTCGGCGCACCCCTCACACGTTTCGTGGCGTCATAGGGAGCCCCGCCTAAGGCCCAAGTGGCACGGTCCGCATGCAGTTCCACCTCCATTTCGGCACACCCCTCACACGTTTCGTGGCCCCATAGAGAGCTCCGCCTAAGGCCCAAGTGGCAGGGTCCGCATGCAGTTCCACCTCCATTTCGGCGCACCCCTCACACGTTTCGCGGCCCCATAGGGAGCTCCACCGAGGGCGCCAATGGCAGGGTCCGCATGCAGTTCCACCTCCATTTCGGCGCACCCCTCACACGTTTCGCGGCCCCACAGGGTGCTCCACCGAAGGCCCCAGTGGCAGGGTCCGCATGCAGTTCCACCTCCATTTGGCGCACCTCTCACACGCTTCGTGGCCCCATCGGGTGTTCCACCAACGACGATACTTACAACGGCGGCATTCGGAATTGCGTATGGTTGGGCCCTTCGCCAGGATAA